TACACAAGCTTGGGCATAGATGGCTTTGCAGCAGTCGGCGCACGGAAAAACGCGAGGGCGCACTTCTCCTCTCTGGGGAAGCAAACCGGTTTGCAACATCGCCGCCGCCGTCTTTAACTCGTCCTCATAGGACAGAGAAAGAGAAAGGATGTATAACCAAAGCTGCATTATATAGCCACGTAGGTGGACGACGACGACGACGACGTCGTCTTCTTCTATTGGCGATCGCAGGCGGCCTCACGGCCGTGAAAATCCTCGAGATCTGCCGTATCGATAAGGCGCACGAGGGAAACAATGCTTATACGCGGGGTAGATGCAATCTGACGACCGCGATCTTTTCCTTTTTGTCGCCGCCGAGAGCTCGACAGACTTTTAGCTAATTTTAAACGTATAGCCTCTGCGGGACACGTAGCGAGCGCGCCTGCGTGTCGGCTGTTGTGCGTCAGTAATAATTGCACTCGGTGCAACTCGAAAGTGCAAAACTTCCTTGACTATGTGCAAGCTGCAACGTCGCTTCAAAGTTTACGCGATTTACGGGACTATTAATGCCCATCGATGACGATTATCTTTTTTTGTAAAATGCACCGAGACAATCTGGATATTTCTCGCGCTTCGGTAATGGAAACACCCGATAGAACAACGAAATAGGGTTTGGCCGGGTACAAGTCTTGCGAGCAACGTAACCCAGCGCGGCGACTGGATCAGGTGCGTATCGCAGTGTAAATGGCCACGCGGTGTGACTGGCAAGTGCGCAAAAATGACCGGGTATCGAATGTCGCGGTGCAGACGTATTCGCCGAAGATACGGCTACTGCAGCTGCGTCGGGTGACTGGTGTGGCGGACTCTCGCCAGGCCGAGGAACTGGTTTGGCACAGCCAAAATGATAAGGGCGAGGCGCGCCCAAGGTGCTGCGCGCGGAAGGCGAAGGTGGCTGAATTGTGCCATTGCTAACCCACTCTCTGTCGATTTTTGTGCCCTTCGAGATTTCTTTCTTTGCGCTCATTTCGCCAGTGTGAGTTGTCGCTGTGTCTTTGCAATTTTTTCAAGCGTTTTAAATAGCAAAACTCTCGTTGGAGATTAACGAGTTTTTAATGACTGTACTATACGTTTTTCGCGTTATAGGATCGAGAAATGCACAAAAGCGTCTCCTGCTTTTTAAGAGTAAACCGAAGATCACTTTGGTCCTTGATGAGCAAACGGGTATAGCATTTCTGCAATCGTTCGATGTGGCGTTTCGCAACTATTCAATGGAACATGTGTAATACGGATCACCGACGTCACATGCAGCGAACAAACTCGTTTTCATCAGCTTTTCGTCAAAACTCGTGTTACTCATAAGTACTTCAGTGCCAATGTAAGGCATCGCTGTAACGAGCAGCACCGTAATGCCATAAAACGAAAAATCGATCGCAACCAATAAAGAATGAAGAGCGAGGGAAAAATTTCATCGAATCTCTTTCTCGCGAAAATGCTCGCTACAATATTCGCGTCCGTGTAGGTGCACCAAAGCCTCGCGATACAGCACCGCTTCCAAGAAGTCAAAGGACGCCAAAGTATCAAGACTGGCGCGACCCCCTGCGTCATGCCAGCCAAGCTCGCAGTCAAGTCTAGCGCGGTCGATCCACTTGCGCGTTACGACGCCCCAAAATAATTATATGTGAATTGTCATGTTGTATCCGCTGAGCTGTTGCTATTATATGTATCCTTTGCGTCTCGATTGGCTTGTGATTATGTGCGATAGAACTGACACATTTAGTCGCGAATTTCTCTGAAAGATTTTTGCGCGGTCACATACACATGCATACGTGTGTGCGCGCGTGTTGCGCACCTTTGTCTGTATGCGCAAATTTGGTAAGCTTCTTTTGTGTAACTCGATAGCGACAAAAATTAATTCATGCTAGCTTGACAAAAAAAGCAAGCTCGCGCGAATATTACGAAGATATAGGGAAATTCAAAACGTGCGCGGACTAAATTTTTATAGCTTACAGTCACATACTTATTGTAATTATTGAAGATTTTAAAACATAAAAAGCGTCTAATGCATTATTTACAAATTTTGCGGTATATTAGTGGCAACATCTACGAGTTCAAAGCCGTTTTCGTATGTTACAGCGAAGCTTTCTGCACGTAGGAAAAATCATTATTTACATTAGTTTCGCAAATGCCAGATGAAGAAGCTCGTAAACTTTGAGTAGTATCTTTAAAAATTACGAAATCCGAAAGCACGTTTTCACCTACGAATTTTTTCATGGCGTAAATTTTCAAATCCTCATATTTTTTCACGTTCCAGAAATCTACTAATTGCCTTTGCTTTTATCCAATCTACCTTTGCTTTTCGACGGCATGAACAAATTCGTAATCGATTTCGCCCATCAGCCTGCAAAATTGAATATTTAATTGCCTGGTAATAAAATTGTTTGCATTGAAAGATAAAATGGCACGTATAAGCGCATTTCAAGAACGTCGCAGTTATTTTATTGCGCTTGCCGGTCCTACGTACTCCCGGACGGCATAGCACTGAGAGGCTGGAATTACCCTTAAACCACTTTTGGATGCGTGCAGTGCATCGCGTTACGTCACGAAAATCAGTGTACGTCGTTTGCGAAACGACGATCGATCGAAAGAGAAAAGGACGTTCTCCGCGTCGAAGCTTTCATCAACTGCCACTTCGAGCGGAGGAATTAAAGTCTCGATGTTCATATCTGGCCGCGCATTTTCGCTCGTCCCACGCGCGATCCTCTTGTTCCAAACGATTATTTCGCGCAACTTTAATTACGACGCGCAGCAGATTAGCGTTAATTGTTGCGTTATTGGGCCGAAACGCTCGTAAATACGCTCGCTAATAATCAATCTTCGCAAGCTAATCCGCTCTCGCGTACTCGAAATTGGCCTCCTTTGAGGAGGAAAAAAATTACGCAATTCCGACACACTTTTGCACTCACGCGTCGGCGCTCATACGCGCGCGGACAAACCGCAAAGTGCAGACTCTGAAAAATGTCCCTCATCATCGCGTCGCCTGTCCTGCGAAGGAAAGGGATATTGCGAAGTGCAGTGCGTGCAGACCCGGTCAGCTGAAGATTCATTGATTGCGCAGGCAAAGCAGAAGCGAAATAAAACTTGGATGCCTTCTGGGTCGTGCGTCGTTTCTTGTTTGAAAATAATACCCGTGGAAATCTAACAGAGCGGACGGGTAGACGTCAATATCAGCCAAGTATAACATTTTATCAGCCATTTTTCCTAGAACATATTATTTTTCTCTTATATTTTATAATTGTTCATTTTAAGCATGAAACGATAATCTTGTGAAACTCTCTTCTCATAATTTTTCTGCGCGGACCCCAATATGTGACAGTGTATTGAATTCATGAAAAAACTTGTTATCTTTTGTTTTCAGACAATTTATTTCCAACCATTTATATCTATGAGTTTGCAGGCAAATATATAACAATTTAAAATATCGTTTCAACATTTGACCATAATACCTTCTACTACTGTATTATATTTATCAGATTAAGCAGAACAGTTCACATAATTATTCAAGAACGCACTCTGTCTTTAAACAAACGTAACATCGTAATTCCAAATCTCAATAGTTTCCGTGAAACTTTGCACCTTCTGCTTTTTCTCTACAAACTCAAAAAGATATATTCCTTTCACACTTTCCATCGGCTGGCACTGCTTGCGTACAAAATCACTCGAGTCGATGAGACAAGGAACCCTGAACAGTCAGCCAAGCTAATTAAAATTTCGTAGCACACCTCCCTTTTACTTACCATCTTCAAAGTATGCAGCCGCACGTCGTTTCGGATCATTTCGCTTGCGATCCCAAAGCTTCTGGTTTCTTTTTCCGAGAGAGACAGAGAAAGCACAAATAAAATTCTAAAGACGCCCGTACGCGCGGTGAAAGTTTTAAGAAGCTCTTTTTTTCCGCGATTCTGCAAAATACGTCAATTGAATGTAACAACTCGGGAAATAAAAAGTCCGTAACTGCTTTGATCGACGCGTTGGTAGAATCGTAACTTCGTCGACAGGAGCTATTGTCTCCGCGCATACGCGATCAACCTTCGAACTGCTTCGAGGTATAATCTTTCTCAAAATCAAACTTCATAAGTATTACATTTACGTGACGTATGGAAACTTCGGTAAACTTGAACTTTCTTTCTTACGAAAGTAAAGAGCCGTATGTCCGTGTATTACCTGTGACGTACGCAAAACGTTGAATAAAAATTCGCAGTGTTTTATGATCCATAATTATTAATTCATCGACAGGCAATGTAGTATGCGTATTTTATAACTGTACTCAAGCTGCCAGGAGTGTCGGTTAACGATTGACTTTACCATCTACTTTTCGCTGAAAGCAAATCACTGTGCTTACACTTTGACGCATCATTCTTGCGCACTGCATATAGAAAGCACGCGCAACGCTTTGACATAGACGCGCGCTTCCTTTTCCTTGCGACGCCGTCGAACTGAGACGAGGATCGGAAAACTAAAAGCTTGGCAGTAGAGATAGGAGTTTTTTCTTTTTCTTTTCGTCACTTTCCCTTTAAATTCGAAATGACTACACTCAAGTCCACTAAAAACATTGATTAACCGTTAAGATATGACGACACACTTGGCCAATAATGAATTTTCGCGAATACGATCGCAGCCTTGGCACGAATGTAATTTTTATCGCGACCAGTTTGTCGCACAACCACTCGACGAAGAGAGCTGAAAACAAACTAGCATCTTCCGAAATGAGCGAATCGCTATCACGTCATACCTAACGAGCCGACTGTCAACTGGAGGAGCATGTAATCAGTTTCGCTAGGTGGTGTAGGCAGTGCAACGGTCGTCGGCATTTGTCCATAAGCTCAAAGGAAAGTGCGCGCGGCGTGGCCGCCGCGCGCACAAGCCAGTGAGAACGAAAGAGCGAGAGAGCGCTCTCTCACTCGGTTTTTCTGGCCGCGGAGAGGGATACAAGTATAAGAACTCGAGGCGGTTGCCCGGCCCGCGCTAGTGCACCAAGGGACACCACTCGTACACATACATTCAGATAACTTTTATATTGTGACAATGGAATTGCGCCCTGCATTCATCGTAAGTACCGAGTGCGAGTTTTCAAATTTTGCCGCGCCGCCGTCGCTCGCGAGTGTGACAAAGCAAGGATGTGTCCCGGGCACTTGTGATTACGTACGGCCAATGACAGCGCGAGCGAAGCCAAGACAGACGTGTCAATGGGCTTTTCCCAATTCAGCGTTAGGCAGGGATGATCGAGTTACACCTAGCTTGTGTTCGTTCGATGTCATTTTTCTCCCCAATCACGTTTTCGTAATGCTCGCTTGCCAATCAGTCTGCTTGTCGTTGTGCAAACGCTATTTACTTTGGAAATTTTTATCCTTGCCTCTTGCCATTTGACAGCTCAATGATTTTAGGATTCAGTTCAAATTAAATGTATTCATCAAGTTGGCTCAGCAAATTTCCAACGTTAGAAAGTAACTTATGTAACTTTTTCTATGTAAATTAATTATATTAATTTAGCTTTACGACAAGGGCAATATTTATTCTTCATTTTTCGAAGCATTTTTTTATTCAGTACTGATACATGATGATTTTTTAACCATAAAATTATAACAAAATTTGAAATCTCGTCAAGCAAATGAGAATCATTCTGCAACAATTGTTACCAGAAATGCATAATTTCGTCGTAAGTCCTTTGTCATCTCACTCACGATCTCAAAAGAAATCCCAGCGCACGTAATACAATTCCACTCAGAAAAGCAAAAAGACACTAATTAAATCGAAATGGTTTGGTCACGCAAGAAATCAAAAAAGGACCATTTCCGAGTTGAAACTGTCCAAAAGCCTGTCATTCTCCTGCAAGCCGCGCGGAAATTTTAGGGCTTCGAGACCGATCGCATGCAAATTACTCTTGCGAAACAATCGTTTGCGAGCAACATTTGTGTGTTTCTAAATATTAAAATATCAAAGTTTAGATCAAAACGACGCTAATGCCAACCTATACATATATATAACTCGATGCGCACATAATGAACACAATGTGATTTATATAACGCGGGAGGGGCCATTTCTCTCTCAAAAGCTACATTATGTAAAGGACATTGTAAGCGCCGCGATCTAAAACGCGCTCGTATAAATATTTGCGCGTTCGTGATATGGAATTTGGAATTGTGTCTTTCTCTCGCCGCAGGACCCCCAGGAAGTTGCGTTATATAGTGAGTATTATTTTCAACTTTCCTTGACGCGCGTTTTTTTTTCCCGTTCGTTTTAAAGTCTTTCAATGCGAATTCTCCAGAGCACTATTCATACTGATACCGTAAAATGTTCCCAACGGGGGAACGTTGTTAAATTTCTATTGTGCCTTCATTTTTTTTCTCTCTTGGCGATCGTAAAAATAATGAAAATTAGCGGCCATTGACTTTGTATAATCGCATCGGCGTGACTTCTCGTTCCATTTTTCTTGCGCCTTCAGCAATTTGCACGCACTCGCGTCTTTCGACATCACTGATAATTCGCCCGTCGGAATGCCCAGCCTCCTTCTCCACAGGTGTGGAATGGAGATCCAACCCTTATCAAGGGAGTATAGGAACTACGCGCGGATTACCTCGTATGCGCAATCGTTAACTCATTTGAAATCTATCGGGCATTAATTGACAACCCGACTTTACGCAACGGAGGCCAAATCTTGTAGAATAAAAATCGAACGGGATGTGTAATGTTACAAATCCTGCGCGTCTCAGTAATACAATCCCAGAGATTAAAAAGCACTTCATCGCGAAGCGAAAAAAAAAGATTGCCGCACAGCTGTCCGAACCCTCTCTTACGTAATAGGTGTAAACATGCATTACACACTCCGAAACATTAAGCTCTCGTCGCTAACTCGCGCGCCTATAAAATTTACGCCAAAAATCACGGCGATTTTTGCTGCTGTTGCTGCTAAACGAAGATTTGCCAACTGACTTTTCCGAAGTTCAAATTAATAGACAGAGAACATGCGCGCGAGCGGCATGTTTCATCATTCGATACGGCTATAGCGAGAGAACCGGCTTTCATCGGCTTGTTTTTCCCTCGCGCAAGCCACCGCTGCGTGACAAAATGGCCAAGCGGAATTTTCGGTACTTACGACGGATTCTACTTTTGATGCAATTCATTTGTAACCCCCTTCTGGCACCATCACACTGCCAGCTCGTAGTATTTTTTCGATTTATAAAATGGATTTTTTTTTTTATTGAGAAACGCCGTGACATTATTGCCGAAAAATAGTTCAGGAGGATTTGTGTTGCGAAAGAGCGTACTCTATCGTTAATAGTGCATCGAATTGTTTACAATTCTTCATGGAATGTAAAAATGACAGACATTAAAAGTGTGGGGAAAAATGATTTTAAATGATGTACCCCTCGATAAATGTCCATTCAGTAGTAAAAGCGTTGTAACGTTACAAAGCTATACCATCGAAAAGTACATTCAACGAATGCCTTCGTTATTTTCTTTTCTTTTCCGTCATAGCAGCAACGTGATCTTGCACTTGGATTACCATACAAAACGTACAACCCACAAGCACAAAACAATCAGATACACGGGCGCGCGAGCAGTGCACGCATAGCGATCGTCTCTCTCGTGTTCAAAATCCCCCCGTGTTCTCGTTGGCAATTGTATAAGGGCAGAGAGCGCAGAATCCGGATCGTGGACATATACCAAACAGAACGAACTTAGCTTTATATCCCAAGACTGCGGTGCGCGTAAGCGTTCGACTAACACGCGCGAGATAGTACAGTGAGTTGCGCAAGCAATACACGTCGAGCGACTTTTAAATATGTCTGTACGTGTGTTGTCTGTATACAGATATATAAATTACATAAAGTCCGAGAATTTCTTAGCTTCCGCGAAGAAATCGCACGTTGATAATCACCCGGCGAATAGGACAAACATTTAACGTATTAACTTGGTTCCAACGCTTCTTTTCTTTTTTTTTACTTTGCTCAGAGCCATATACTTCTTTTTAATTCTCAGTCTTGGCCTGTATATACTTTCTACAACGGAAATACGATGCGATTCGACCAACCATCGCTTCGAGAATTTCTACTTTTTAATAAGAGCACGATAGACGACAGAAAAGCTCTATTGAGTTATAATTTATTGTCCTATCGGTGCCGGCAATCTGCTCGCTCTCGTTCAATTTCTCGCGAACGCGCGCATCCCCGCACATTGTCTACAACGTGCGGCGTCCCTCCCCCTCCTCACCGTGAGTTTCACTTTCACGGTCAAGATCACCTACGCGATTTGACGACCTACTTGTCGGCTTTTTTCCCTCTCTTTCTCTCTCTCTCGCGGCCAATTAGCGATTCGCGTCTTCTCACGCTCAAAAGCGACGCGTGCGCGCTATAATTGCTCGCGCTTGTATTTCGCTCGCTCCACCGATCTGACCAGCGGCTTTTCATCTATCGCCGCATCGCATTACAATTTTAAGCGAGTGCTCGCGGTGCACCGGCTGTGAAAATATTTTCAAATCAAAGCACGCGCCTTTCACGCTGCTGCGTTCGGTCGGCCGATAGGAGCCTCCGTCGCCGTCGAGTGCCGTCGTATCGAGAGGGTATTTTGACATCGACCGCGGGGCGGTTTTTCAAGTGACGAGCGAGCGACATCGTAGAACTCGAGCCCAACGAGTTGGGAAAACTCACTCGGCCCATATCTTCTAGCCTCTGAATCGCCATACCGTCGAGGATAAAGAAGCGCGAAATGACTTTCGGCAAGTAGCTCTTCGCCCGAAACGACCGCGGAACGACGACGCCAGAAGGAAAAGAGAAGCACGCGTCGCGCGAAAACTTTCTCATGACACCCGCGCTCTTGCCGCGGCTCGCGCTCCGCTGTTATTACTCGCGAGGAGCGGAAAAGGCCTGCGCGCAGCCCATACGGAAACGAAATTCTTCGATATGTCGAGCACTTTCACCTTGAGAGAGCGTGCCAACTCCTAGGCCTTATCTCTCTGCAAGTGTATCTATTACCGAGAGGGCTTGTAGCCGTTTTTCTTTATTTTTCCACTGCTGCTCTCGAGTCAATATCGTTGCACGTTCCTTTCGTACCGCGGCGACTTCGTTTCTATCAACGAATTATTTCGACCGTACGCGTTCCTCTTTCTTTGTTTTCGATCGGCTGCACCCCCGCGAGCGATTACACGCTGAGAGCGCGATCGGCAGCGCGCGTACGTACGCGAACTTTTTTCTTTCCTCGATCGGCGAGTCATTCGCATATCTATCGCTCGGCCGGCGAATGGCGGACATTTCGCGCGTGCCTTCCATCTGTCTCGCGAATCTTTAATTGCGATCTCGATCCGTTCGCCGAGCTGCCGATAAACGGCGGGCCACTCGTCTGTGGAGCCGCGTAATGCCGCATACCTCGGGCAAATTCGCGCCCGCGAACGCGTGGGCTGCGAGGAATGTTCCTACGTGGCGAGTCGCGATTACCATTCGTTCGATCGCCTCGAAGGATGCGTGTTTGGAATTTCCCGAAGGAGTAGGCTGTGCGTGGCTATTTGTCGAGCGTCGTTCGTCGACGGCGACGTATCATTGTTTTCTCGGTGGAATTTCAAACGTATCGCGGAGATTGAGCCGCGTTATTGTAGGCATTCTTATGGCGATAAAAGGAGTCAATCAAACAAGTTTGTCGTCGATTGATGGATGTACGCTTAATCCAATGAGAAGAGAGCTAAGGCGTTCGAAAGAGAGATCAACTTAGCGCGCTTGGACCCGTTCGAAACAATGGGCGTTAGACTGCGCACGGTTCAGCTCGCGTAAGGTCACATTCCCGCGTGGTCAGGCGATATTGGAGTGCGAAGCTATTTCTCGCATTGCACACTGTCGCGGCTGCGTAGTTTGCGTGGGGGAAGAAAATCGCAGCGTTCGCCTATAGCGAAGCTAAATTGTTGTGCCGCATTTCGTCATCCTCTTTCCTTCGGCACCCAGCCAACGGTTTTATCGAGTTTGCAAAACCAACGAGCTTAACCTTGAGAGATTTATAGGGAACGCGTCCATCCGACCCCCCGGCCCCTCCCCTCCAGCAAAGTTTCATTGAAACTTCACGCA